CATTAAGTTTTCTATTTTTTTTGTTAATATTTTTATTGATATAGGTAGTTAATAAATAACGGATTTATACAAATTACTTACGTCTCTTGTGGCTCTTTTAAAGGGGTTTCAAAGGTTTCAGTTTCTCAATTTAACTTTTAATTTGCCTACTATCAATATTAATGGATTCAATTAAAGACATTGACATTTATTAAGATTTTTTTTATCGTACCTATTCAAAATTATTTTTTAATAATACCAAATTTATCATACGAAATACAAAAGAAAATACAAATACAGAACTAAAAAACAATTACTCTAAAAATTAAAATTGTGAGCTACTACGAAACGACAGATATGAAACGAATTGACCCGACTTGAACCGAGTACTTCCAGCGTTGTCAGGTCAGCAACTACATTGGGATTCTTTTGGTTCGACCATTGTATTTAAATACAATGGTTCGACTTAACATAGCTCCGTTCGCTGTAAGATTCCTGAACTGATTCATACTTGAGCGCATGCCAGATTCATTATCAATTCTGAATAGGCGTAACGCAATTTTACCGCGAACACAGTAAAGAACCAATAATTCAGTTCTTTCTGTTCCGCGAATGCTTTTTAACTAATGCGCATGCGAAATCGTTACTGTTAAGTTATAATTTGGCTCAGAATTCTTACCGCGAACGAAGCTCTTGACAGCGTGCTTCAACCAATGAACTGGAGTGGGGTAGAATGCTTGTCAATAGACTTGATGTGCGACTCTATGGGCGAAGATAGGTTATTTTTTATCTCACTCGGGAGTATTTAAAATAGCCAGTTTCTATTTCACATTGTTATTGTCTGATCCACCAGCTTGTGGATTGAACAATAACAATGTGAAACAGAAAATGGTTATTATAAATAGTCCCGAGTGAGATGAACAATAAAAATGGCTGCGCCCATCGAGTCGCACCTTGTTCTAATAGTACAACATGTACATTGGCATTCTACCCCCCTCCAGTTCATTGGCTTCAACCTATCAGCACATTACCGTATTCTATGCTTTCAGCCGAAACGTAATTTGGCATCAGTGCATAAACGTCAAATCTAACGACTCTAACTGGTCAAGCTTTAGAGTCTAATCTAAAAGTAATGCAGAAACTACGGTTTCCCGATGACAATAAATTAGTCTTCACGATTTGAAAACAACGCAAGCTGACTATTTGAATTAAAAGCTTGGTTTTGTAAATAAAAACCACCTTTCTTTAAACCTGGCGAAAATGGTGTTGGCTGAAAAAAATAGTGAAAACATTCGTAATGGAAGGAGAAGCCGAGGGCCAAGTCCAAACGGGCACATGCAAGCAGAATCTACTAGTGAAGATGAAAGTAGTGGTAAGTGCATATTTTTCTATGGCTTGGTTTAAAAAGATAAATATAAAGTAAATGTGTGTAAAATACATCTGTCTAATGACTGAAGTAGTTAGATATACAAATTTCTTACGTATGCTTTTATTTTAATTTTTGAGCAAGTATATGAGTATTTAAATTGAAACAAATTCTAATCTATATCTGTGAATTGTGTATAGGTAAATAAATTGTTATCTCAAATTAACAATTAATTCTCGCATGCCTTATTTTTATTAGAACGAATATCAAACCGTCAATTTGTTATAGTACCTGTAGATAAAATAAGGGTGGGACGAGATTATCAAGCAGTGTGTCCAGAATTACAACCTGAAAATCAAAGAAAACCTGAACTTTTAGCAGATAGGGCCCTTCTAGTATGGTCACCAACAGAATCCATTCCAGAAACAAAACGTAAGTACCTATACAAAATACCTATAGGTATTACTATTACATACTTGATATTTTATTCTTTATTTAACATGCTAGCACCACTGGTGTCTTAGGTCCGTATTTATGAACAGATCTCAGCTGAGTCGGACTTGGGTGAGTCGTCCTTGAACGAAAATCGAAGTTCGGTTACAACTTATGTTGTTCAATTGTTCAGCCCAAGAAATTTGCTTTGTACATTATTGACAATAATAATTAAAATTTACGAGGCTGATAAACTATGACTAGATTAACCATAAGTAAAGCATTTTGCTGTATTGTACAGCATTTTCAAAGTCTTGTACAACAAAATGTTTTATTCTGCCAACAAAATGTCTTATTTGTCCAGCAAAATGCCATTATTGTCCAGCAATGTAATATATGTTAAGATAAGGGTTAATTAAGCCCAATAAAAGTCATTAAACCACCAAAACTGTTTATTTATTCTATATTATTCTATTACATTAATATTATTCTATATTTTATTGCTTGGCTATGGGCTATGCTGCCACTGCTTCTTTCCTTTGTTGCTCTCCTCCGCCCTCCATTCGTCCGTCCTGACTTGCCAGGAGTATTGACAGTGACACATGGTCAATAATGTTGGGGTACAAGGAAAGTATCACTAACATATATACTTTCCTGAAACATATCAAATAGACTTGGCAACTTACAAAAACGCCTGTGCTTTGTATTCGTGTTCAGCATCCAGCATTGGATCAAAACTTTGACAGACATCTAGTTTAGCTTTGAGTAATTTGAAGTTTACTTAGATAGATTACATTCTAAAGAAGCATTGTCAAAGTTTTTTGGACCCATAAAGATTTTTTAATATACAAAAATCATATAAAAGATACATTAATTTGCAACTTTCATTTTAAAAATGACAAGTATTAAGTAATATTTTTTTACTATAAAATCAAATATAAATAAAAATCATTCGGAATGAATGAAAATATTCAAAATATATCAAGAGAGTCTATTTCTTGCAGCTTTTCTAAAGCTATTGAAAGGCGTACCCCAAATATCCAACTTATGGATTTGTCATAATTAATTCAATGAAATTGAATGGAGAACAAATCCTATTGATGGATATATCCTACCAGTTCTCTAAACTTAGTGAATTCTAAAAGTTCGAAACAATGAATAGATCCTGAAATTACTTTATGCAAAAATAATTCTACTAGAAAATTACAATATTGGAAAGTCTTCATTATCATTGATACCTATATAGTAAGAACAATAATTGGCCCCAAATGGGAACCTTGAGGAACCCCTGAGGGTTTGTCATATTGGATTGACAGACTACCATTTGAACTGTTTTTTAAATAGCTTTCAAGCATCAGAGAGGCCAAGCTTTTTAAATTTAAATAGCAATAAAGTGTGATTATCAGGGTCAAAAGCTTTACTAAAATCAGAATATATTTTATGAACTTGATTATCTAAATAGCATATTATGGATTCATAATTTGTGCTGTAAAATGCTTTAATGTAATTTATTAATATTTGGAGAATAGAACTGTTCTGAATAAATCAGACCCCTCTGTAAGGTTACACAATCTCAAAAATTTTCCATTGCTATTCTGACTGCATTGATGAAAACAAACACACTTCCAGATTGTCTATGGTTTTGAAACAGTTACATTTTGTTAAGTTATTGATATTAGTAAGAAATATAGGAAATTTACTAGTTGCAGGCCCTGTGACTAAGTTTAGATTAGATCACTGTTCTTCAACTTGTGGGGTCGCGAAGTCTTGCATGGGGTGTCACAGTCGCAAGTCGGGTAAAAGTAAAAAGCATACTTCAATAAAAATACAAAAAATTTCATGTTCATTTTTTAATAATCTGTCGAATCGGGCTTCTGTTTTTGAGACACAAATAACCAAATAATTTTCTAATTGGAGCATAATATTTCTCTTCTTAGTTTTTATGTTCGCCATTGAAGATAATATCTTGTTCACATAAGTAAGAAGTGGCGAATGGTACTAATAATTTAAAAACTTCTCTTGTCAACATATTCTTCTTTCCTCTTTATCCAGAAGATGTTAATATTTTGCAAATTAAATTCGATTTAGCATTCATGCCCACTGTCAGCTTCAGAATATACGACTACGTTGCACAGCGCACTTAATTTCTTGATCAGTATAGTCCCAATAGGAAGAAAATAAATATGTCTTTGCGACATTGTTTACGAGGATTGCAAGAATTTTATTACTTGCAAACAAATTGTGTATTCAATAAGGTTGAAAAACACTTGATTTGTGTTGTTAAAAATATGGATTTTCTCAAAATTATAATCATAGTTAAAAGTTCTTTTATGAATAATTATTGTCTCTTCTTGTCCACATCCAGTTCATGTAGTCCGGAGTCTGAACATCCGTGTCCTCTGTTTTAACAGAAGTTTTCTTTAGTAAAAATAGGGCTAATGATTTTGTAATTTATACCATACTAGCCTTACAAAAAAATATACTTAGTGAGGTCAGGGAACCTGGGAGGACCACCTCTTCCAATTCACCCGTTTTCAAAATTATGGTTCAGAAAGTTGTGAATTGGTTCATGAAACATCCACATTAAGCGTCTTATTTGGTGGAACATGTTCCAATAGTAATGTGAGATGAATCTGCAGAGAGTCTAAATAAACTCCGCCATTTACACAATTATGAAAGAAATGTGGTTCTATGACATGGTCCTCTAATATACCACCTCAAACATTAATGGACCAACATGTTGGGCTATGTGTGATTAACTCATGAGGATTGCTAGTAGAATAGTAATGGAAATTGAGTTTTTATTCTCCTGATGACGTTTGATATTGTATGGATGTACTTTATTTTTGACAGATGATTAACTTGTTCCAGTTTCATTTTCCATAAGGTGTGTACTGGTATTTGCATTTTCGATAACACTAAGTAGAACATGGGACCCTTGGATCCGCAGGCAGAGACTACCACTGAGCCACCCACCCCCCATTTTTTTTTTGTGTGTGTGTCATCGGCTTTAACTGCTAATGTCATTTCGGCACGTGTTCTTTGTAGGCTTTGTTACTGTTTCCCAGCGCCACTTTAGGGACAGCACTGTTAATTAGAACCCAACAATTATTAATATTATTATTAAATCATCTACTGAAGGTAGATTGCCATTTCCCTATTTGCAAATAAAAATGTTAAGTAGTTCCTGAATAACGGTCATTAAAAAATCTTTATATATTTTTATTTCAATCAAATTGACATCAAAATTCTAAGATCGATCTGTTTCACATACATTTTTATGATCATTTATATACTTATTTTTATACAATATATTTATTTTTTAGTTGAAGATTACATTATACTTGCTAAAGACAAATATGGATATAATGGTGAACAGGCACTTGGAATGTTATTTTGGCATAAACATGATCTAGAAAGAGCAATGCTGGATTTAGCAAATTTTACACCATTTCCTGATGAATGGTCAGTAGAAGATAAAGTCCTTTTTGAGCAAGCCTTCCAGTTTCACGGAAAAAGTTTTCACAGGATACGACAAATGGTAATTATTAATTTATTATAGTAAAAAAATGATAGTCAGTAATATAATTGATATATTTAATTTCATCTCTACATTTATTTCTTTTTGATATTGAAAAGTGGTAAGAAATCTGGTCTGCTGGTTCTTTTATTTTACCTTTTTTTTGCATTTACCTCTGGGTTCTAGAGACTTGAAGATCTCGAAGTTTTTAATGAAAGGGTTGTAGAAATAATGCACTCAACCCATGAATTTTAAGTTTCCCAAATCTTGCTTTATTTATGTTTAGTATTTACTGATATACAATGTCCTAACTATAACTTGTTGTATATGCAAAATCTTTATCTCAGAATATATTTGTTATCTCAAAATTGCATTCTTTTCACTCCTGCAATATTAGTGATAATAATTTAGCCGTAAGACTAATGAAAATAGATGAATATTTTTTAAAACTTGTATCTGAAATTTACTGACGCAGTAAGGCTAAAATACCGTTAAGGGGACATAATTTTATTTTCAGCTTCCTGATAAAACGATAGCGAGTCTAGTGAAATATTATTACAGTTGGAAAAAAACGCGATCGCGTACTAGTCTCATGGATAAACAAGCTAGAAAACTCAATACCCCAAAAGAAGAAGGCTTACCATCAGAAGCAGGATCTGAGAATGGATCTAATGAAGAATCTGACCATGATGATAAGGTATGAAATTTTAAATTGAGTTACTTTTTAAATTTTCGCATGGAGTTGTAGATAATTATAATTCTGTAAATTATCTAGAATAAAGGTATATTAGGTATAGGACTTTAAAATAGCTGACACTTTTTTGTCCAATATATTTTGTATACATGCTTAAGTCACAGCTTCAGTAAAATGTGCCTAGTTAATAGTTTTTGCCAAAGTGAACAGTTCAATATATGGTGTGTGACTTAATTAATGGATAAATTCATTTTTATGATAAATCCAACAAAGACATGGTGATTCTTAAAACAAAAGTCTTAATGCATGTCAACCCTCTTATTTTTTTAATAGTATGGTGGTCATTTGACTTATCGGTATGGAAACCCCTACCCGTCAGCAATATTTTGTAAATACAATAATGAACATTTTTTCGAAGTTAGCCTCTTTATAAGTCATGTAAGTAATTAACTTTTGACACGCCATCTAAATCAACACCTACGATTTTGGTATATTAAGGTGCGTCCTCACCGAATCAACACTGTCGATCGACGTTGTCGACTTTGTGTGTACGCGGCGATGGAAAACAAATCGACATGTCGATCGATTTATTTTGTCGATTTCCGGTAATCATGAAAGAACAGTCGATCGACTTTAGTGTGTGGACGTGTTTTCGACGTTCGTCATTCGACAAACTACTGTTAGTACTAAGTACTTAGTAACATCTTGCCTTGTTGACATTGTAGTTGTTTTCATTGGAGAAATGGAATGGGAACAAGATAAATTTGGTATGGTCACCCTATCATCAGGTGCATGTATCTGCTCTGGAGGGAGTTCAAAATAAATTCTTGCATGTTGTTGCCTGGCGTTTTAATATTAATGTCCATACCGATGCACAAAATCCATATTATATTGATTATGAGCCTGTACTAAATCGCCTTGCGATTTCTACATTGGAGTCCAGGAGAGCGCAGTCTTCCATATGCTTTTTATACAAATTATTGATGGGAAGTATTAACTGTGATTGTTTGCTAAATTTAATTAACTTTTCGACCACGCGTCGAACTAGAAATAATGATCTTTTTTACATTCCCACCAATAGCACAAACTACGCCATGCACAACCCTCTCACCCGTATGTGTAGATTATACAATGAACATAATATCGATCCTTTTAAGTTCAGATCTCATCAGTTTAAAAAACATATTTCCAAAATTATGTAACTAAATTAAATTAGGTTGTTTTGGTATAAATGTGATATTGTTGTGTTAGTATCACTTATGAAATTTTGATATATTTTGTTATTCTACTAAAATTGTAAAAATGGAGTTTCCGTATAAATAAATAAATTCATAGCCTTTATTGAGGCATACATTCTGAGAACAAATCTATGGGATTCTAAAAACAAAAACTATAAGAGCACAAACTTGAGGCACGATGCCCTTATGTAAATTGCTAATGAATTTAACGTTGAGAAGCAAGCGATAGAACAAAAATTAGAAGTCAATTTGCTAGAGAAGTAAAAAAAATAAAGGACAGCAACAAATTACTAGCATTGTATCTGGTTTTACTTTGAAGACTTGGTCGAACCCAAAATCTTCTTTTGCAAGCAAGTTTTCTTTTTTTAGTCACGATAATAATATATACGGCACAAGCAACTATAATGTCATCTTCGTTAGACATGTTAATTTCGACTGATCGACAAACATTTCTGTCAACTCTGGTGTGGACAGATGCAGTTTTGTAGACTTGTTGATCAGCAATGTCGATAGACAGAGTCTATCGGCAGTGTTGATTCGGTGAGGTCGCACCTTTAATATTATTTTTTTTATTTATGACAGCCAGTGGAAAGTAAAACACGCTGGTTTAAAAAACAGATTTTATTTACTGACTTATAGCATGAAATTTGGAACATTGTATTGGAAATATACAACTTTACTTTTCCTTTTGATGTGTGAAGAATGGTGATAAATGTTACTTAAAAATGAGATAAACGAAAATCCGACTTCAACCTCTTACGTAATGGTGTGCTTTGTTTGAATGATGTAATAAAAATGCTGGTGATGCTTCTGTTTCAGGTCTATTTATAAACTTTGATATGGCAGTTATACCGATGCTCAAATTTCAAACCTGATTGGCTAGATCTTTTAATCATATAAATTACTTAGTTGCAAAGATTGCTTCAATAAATAGTCAACAGACGGTATTACTATTTTTCAAGTTTTGTCTGATTCACTTTGCATTCGACTGTGTAGTTAGCTGTTTTTAATTCGTGCCATATGTTGACTTTGTTTCATAAGTGTTTAAAATGTGGTGAGATTCAACTTTTTGTTTGAATTGAAGTTGACGTTTCTATGAATTAAACGTAGGTAATTATTTGAAAATGTTTTGGAAATATGGATGAAAGTGTAATATACTGACGAATAGAAAATTAAAAGGGGGTAGCTACCCCTCCAATTGTATTGACATAAAAGGGTAAAGTAAAAATGAATTTATCCTTTACTTGTGCCGCACACTATATATATAAAGGCAAAGAGACATTACTTTGTTCAACTTATGTACACTGATGTTATCTATTAGTACAGTAGGGAAATGTTAGCATATATGCATTTTTTTAGAGATTTTTTGTTGTCAATAAATGGTCGTGTTTAATTCAAAAAAGCAGACAAACTTTACAGTATTTTTGTAATTTTTTAAAGTAGTTTTTTTTTTAATACCTTATGTAATGAAAAGAATGAATTTTCTAAATTGAAATTAACTATGTACACTTTGCTTAATCATGTGATTTTTGATATTTTCTTTCCCATTCTTTATGGTTTATTCTGCATTACATTTTCTATTTTTTTTTCCTCCCTTTCTGAGAGGAAAAATTGCTATTGTATTAAACTTTCCAAACATTATACAGATTGGGTTTATAATAGTTGATAATTCTAAGTTAATTATAACCCATTCACGATTCAAGGTTTATTACAGTTGGAGTTGATCATGATATTAAACATTTGCTATTAGATTGACATTGTTGAAATTTCGTTCAAAAACCAGCAAAAGTATCTTATATTATGCCACTTAGCTTTAACGGACAGTATCAAAATTAAAATATATTTGTTTATAGTTACTATTAAGTATGAAAAAATAAAATAAAACTTGATTTATGAAATATATTGGGATATACAGTATCAAAAACAAAATATGTATGGACCCAAAAGAGCAAAAGATAACAAATAACTTCAAGACTAGAAAATGAAAATTTTCAATAATTATATATTTTATTTAAAACTATTAGCTTTAATTTGATTGTTACTTATTAAGAGTGGGCGACCAGGTCATGGCATCCAGGTCGTCGTGACCAAGACATTTGCGACAGTGATCGCGTCCAATATCAAGCGAATAGTTTTCATAGTTTCAAAATGAATAGCATGCAAGTAGCAGCTTCCTTATATTTGTCGTCAGTGAGTTACTCTCATTTAATACAATGTATCTTGTCATCATTTTAAATGAAAGGTAACTCACTGACTACTTACAAACATAAGGAAGCTGCTTATTGTAGGATATTCATTTTGAAACTATAGTAGCGGCGTTTTACTGGCTTTCTGTGTGACAACCTGGCTGTCCTGACCTGGTCGCCCAGGGTGTGCACCCTCTAATGAAATAATCCTGTTTATTATTTTTATCACTCAAGACAATTTCTAGAAATGTATATTATTTAACACAAATTGATGTAAATAATTTGCAGAATCAAATTACAATATTTTATATTTTTTGTGAAATAACAATTTCAACTTGATACTCATTTTCGACTTTTAGTTTGAGGGACAGGTTTGGTGATAGAAACAATAAGATTAATATTACTACTGTAATAAACAAATATAACTTAAAATTCACAGAGAAATATAATATTCCGCGTCCGTATTCAGTAAGGAACTACCTTGTGCTTCTTTTCTGTGATGGTTTCCTTGCAGTACTCTCGAAACTAGCCACACCTACCTGGGAAAACGCCCAAATGGATTTTGCCAATAATAAAAAGAAATTACACATTTTTTATACCAATTTGATGGGTACCTATACTTATCATCTTCACTAGTTTGGATAATGTTTTTCTGACTGCCATAAAGTTATTAAAGAAAACTTTTAATTTCTAAATAAAACCGTTTAGGATTTAAATTTATGTAAACCTTTTGTCTTAAAATGAGTAAAGAATAAAGCCCTTTTAATCGCCCTGTATAATAGCAATCTCTAAACAAAGTATTTACATTCAAGTATTAGAAATATTCAAACAATCTTTTTCTAAAAAAAATGACCAATTTTTCATTAGGGATTGGCAAATCTTTCAAGCAACACCAGACTTTAGTGAATATGTTCATGCACACATCTACACCTAAAGTAAATTAACCACATTTCATAGTATTTTCAGAATTTATTATTTCTAAAATATACATACAGATGTTTTGTTTATGAGTGATTTTATATTAAATGTTAAAGAAATATTTTAGGAAGCTATTATAAATTAATTTTATCTTTGATATGCTTTTAATCAGCGTTTAGGTATATTTGATTTCTTTTTTTTTATGAATTAAATGCAATGTTTATATTTTTGTAAATATTGGAGAATTCCAAAAGTTTAGAATAAACCTAAAATGCAACAGCCATATAACATTGTTAATAATAAGTAGTGATGGGTCGCTTTGAAAAGTCCACGGACTAGTCCAAACACACTTTTCAAAAATTAACTAATTTGTCTGAAGTTCTTACAAACAAAGGCAAACTTTCCAAAGGTTGGAAGTATTTTACAAATGATTTGCAAAAAAAAATACAAATGCAAATATTGTTCCCAAAGTGTTTTTGAAATAAAAACCAGGATAGAGATTTTACTGTGTGTCTTCCACTTTTCATTGTGACTTCATTACTTTTCACTACTTTTCCGGATATGTCCGTCAGACTAGTCCAAAAATTACTTTTCATGAAAAGTCCCATCTCTAATAATAAGTATGTTATTATAACAGGTACAAAAAAAAAGTAGATATTTC